TATATATATTTATATATCTCACATTGTCTTTATTCACGCCTCAGTTGTTGGACACTTAAGTTGATTCCATTGATTTCACACCTTTACAATTGTGAATTGTGCTCTGATAAACACATGCGTGGGTGTGTATTTTTGATAAAATGACTTATTTCCCTTTGGGTACATAAAACTGTTGGTTCTTTGGGGAATCTCCTTATTGTTTACCAAAGAGTTTGTACTAATTTACATTTCCACCGAGAGTATATAAGCATTCCCTTTTCACCACATCCATGCCAACATCTGTTGTTTTTTTGGCTCTTTAATAATGGCCTTTCTGACAGGGTAAGGTGGTGTCTCACTGTGATTTTAATTTGCATTTCCCTGATGATAATTGATTTCAGCATTTTTTCATCTTTCTTGGCCACTCGTTTCTTTTCTTTTGAAGAATGTCTGTTCATGTCTTTTGCCCACTTTTTAACAGGGCTATTTGTTTATTTCTTGCTGATTTATTTGAGTTCCTTGTCAATTCTGGATATTAGTCTTCTGTCAGATACATAGTTTGCAAATATTTTTTCACTTTCTATAGGTTGTCCATTTACTATATTGGTTATTACCTTGCTGTGCAGAAGCTTTTTAGCATAAGTCCCATTTATTCTTGGTTTTGTGGTATTTGCTTTCGGGATCTTGGTCACAAATTCTTTGCCTAGGCCAATGTCCAGAAGAGTTATTCCTAAGCTTTCTTCTAGAATTTTTATGGTGTCAGGTCTTACATTTAAGTTTTTAGTCCATCTTGATTTAATTTAGGTGTATGGTGAGAGATAGGGATCCAGGTTCATTCTTCTGCATGTGGCACTCCAATTTTACCATCACCATTTATTGAATGGAGTGCCCTTTCCCCAGTCTGTGTTTTTGTCTGCTTTGTCAAAGGTCAGCTGGTTGTATGTGTATGGTTTCATTTCTGGGTTCTCTATTCTGTTCCAGTGATCTATGTGTCTACTTTTATACCAGTACCGCCCTGTTTTTTAAATTTATTTTTAATTTTTTTCTGGAACACTCAACCTGGCTGGTAGCATAACATGTTGTTTTGGTTGCTATAGCCTTGTAGTACAATTTGAAGTTAAGTATTGCTATGGCTCAAGACTTTTTTTTGTTTGTTTGTTTTGCACTTAAGATTTCTTTGGCTGTTTGGGCTGTCTCTGGACTCCACATGAAATTTATGATTGTTTTCCTAATTTTGTGTAAAATGGTGCTGGTATTTTGATGGCAATTACATTAAATCTGTAAATCACTTTGGGCAGAACTGACATTTTAAAAATATTGATTCTTCCAATCCATGAGCCTGGGATGATTTTCCGTATTTTTGTGTTATCAGTCATTTTTTTCAGCAGTGTTTTGTAGGGCTCTCCTTGTAGAGATCTTTCATCTCCTTCCTTAAATATATTTCTGAGTGTTTATTTTCTTTGGATCTATTGTAAATGATATTGAGGTCTTGATTTGATCCTGAGCTTAGCAGTTATTACTGTATAGAAATACTACTGATTTGTGCACATTAATTTTGTGACCTGGGACTTTCCTGAATTTATCAATTCTAGGAGTATTTTAGAGGACCCTTTAGGGTTTTCCAGATATAAGATCATATATCAACAAACAGGAAGAATTTGACCTCCTGTTTTCTGACTTGGATGCCTTTTATTTATTTCTCTTTCCTGATTGCTCTGGGTAGGACTTCCAGAACTACATTGAATAGAAGTAGTGACAATGGGCATCCATGTCTTTTCCCGGTTCTTAGGGGCAATGTTTTCAACTTTACCTCATTCAGAATGATGTTGGCTGTTGGTTTGTCATATATGGCTTTTTATCATTTTTAGGTATTTTCCTTCTA